TTTTAGAGACCCCCACAAAACTCAGATTATAACTCCAACCCTTTTTTGTTTAGTATTTCTAAAGGTGTAGAAAAAAACTTGGTTCAAAAACTGGTTCAGCCTATAGAACATATTGAACATTACCTTTGAACAAACTTCCAATCCCCACCAAGAGTTTCTATTTCTTTATTAATGTGTGCACTTAAAGATCCAACTGTCGGACTACAGTGGACTTAACATTGAAGTAGGAGACATCTTGTGTCCAGCACAATAAGCATATTCATAGATTGTGCAAGTTTTAATGAGGTAGGAATAGATTACTTTTTAAGGATTTAATGTGGAAATTATACTTTTTAGACACACATTATTGTTCCAAGCAGACTATTTGTATATGTCTTGATACATGTGAAGCTGAATACATTACAATTGCTGGAGCTCAGGGAAACTGCAAAGTTGGGTAATAATTATATAGTCTGTGGGGCCACATTTGACATTACACCTTGTCTTTTGACCCATATAATAATGTAGTAAAAGTTGGAAATATAAACAATAAATGTTTTTTTACAACTCAAAAAAGGACAGTGTGAATCAAAAGGAAAGAGCTGAGTGTCTGTGTATCTTACAGACTGTATAATAATAGCATCTATTCTGCAGTCACCTGTGTCTTCATGCAGCATTATACTCTCTCTTCTGACTGAGGCTGACTCACTGCTCACTGATGTGGAAACAGATGCTGCAGCCGTGCATTCTCCCATCTCCCTATCCCTCCTCCCCTCCTCTGCACTCCTTCTTCTGTATTCACTTGGCCAGCATCACCATGACGACAGACCTGTTGCTACACGGCAACGGGCAGTTGGGAGCAGGGCAGCCATACTGTAGGTTGTGAGACACTTCATGCTCCCTCCCTGTCCGTCTATGGTTTGAGTTTTATGCTCATTATGCTTCATATAAAAAGTGCAGTGTTTACCCTGCAGTGCCCAGAGGGGTTGTTGTTGTTGTTGTTGTCGTTGTTGTTGTCATTGTTGTTGTCATTATTGTTTGTTATTAATAAAACCGATATTTTTCAGATTATAACTAAAATAGTAGTGTAGGTGTCATAATAAGAAGAAACTTTATGCGGGTCAATGTTCACTAAGTTGATTCAGCTGTTCAGTCATATCTGGGACATCACTCTACTTCTTTGTGCATTAATTGTTGTGTGTGTATTGGATATTATATTATACCTGCTTGTAATTGCCTGTGTTTAAACGGAAATATTGAGTGATAGATACTGGTCGTAATCGTAAAACTTCTCACCATCATAAAGTTCATCTGAGGAAAGAGTATCTAAGATAACTGATGAAGCACACTTACACAGGGTGATGAACACAAGCTCTGATTTATTGCTGCAGTAGCCGAGGTGTTTCTGATCAGTCAGTCAGATGTAACATTTTCTTACCCCTTGTGCCCTACTCTCTGGACACCTTCAACTGCTATAAAATCATCATACATTGTTTTCTATAAATCTCATTAACAACTTCAAACTTGCTCAAATCTACCAAACATTCAATTATTTTTTAGGATTTTAACCCTTTAAATGCCAGTTTAATTATTTTAATTATTTCATTAGTTATCTATCTATAAAGCAAGAAATCTGTCTGTCTGTGTGGGATATGAAAACGGACCGTTTCTGTTTTGCGTTTTTAAGCAATTACCGTGTCGGGGTTGCTAGTGCCTTCCTTGGGTGGGTCTAGCAGTTATACGATGCATTTTTGGACATGTTAGTGTTGACAAATAGTACTAGGTTTTTGTTGGCGAGAACTCTTCATTATATACACTAGTTGTTTCCTGTATGGCCGGTACATTATGTGACTGTGGAGTGTCATCTCAATAAATTGTTGTTAATTTATTGTTCTGCCTTGTCATGACTGCCGGCCAGGAGTATCGGAGAGCGTTGTCTAGGAATAAGTATGCTCTGGAATACTGTTTGTATTGTGGATGGGCTCTTGAGTTTTGTCACAGTTTTTTTTTTTAGTGTCTGAATAAGGATGAGTAGGTCTTCCTAGATACAGAAGTTTTTTTGCTGTTAATTCCATTTTTTTGGTAGTTGATGGGAGAGGTGTGTGTTTGTCTCTGACCTTACTATTCAACATGGTGGATTGGTTTGTTTTTGTGAGGTTTGTGTTTTTTTGGTGTGTTTTTTCTTTTTGGTTGTTAAAATCTGTTCGCAAGAGTAGTTGGGAGGCAATTGTGTTATTTGTCTCTGGGGGCAACATTTTACAGATATGGTTTTCCGCTCCAACTGTTGGTAGCATGGCCTTGGCGAGCGAGCAGGGGTAAGTGTCATAAAGGGGTCTTGTGTTTTTATATTCATTATTGTTGTTTAAAGTGATTTTTCATGGTTTTGAGTTATATTTGTTAGGTAATTGGATCTTGATATTGGTTGCCACTGACAATCAGTTTGCATAAAGTGTGCTTCAAATGTAACAGCTTAAACGTCGTGAGTCAGATCTATATGGGGGGACTGAACCATATAACATTTCCAAATGCATGTTCGGCTAAATTCTGTGTGTTGTGTTTGGTGCCTTAATGCATTCCTGTGAATAGCGATTAAATAGGAGTTAGAATAAATCATGACATATTTTTTATACGTGAGGGTCTTGTGTGTGTGTGTGTATCTATGAGTGAGTACCCTTTTTATCTAAGGAATGTGCCTTTGAGGATGTTAACTGTGCGCCCCGCTGTGGTATTGTGTTGTTTAATTTGTTTTTAACTTTTTTTTTGATGTGGTGGATATATTTGGCTGCTGTTACAGCCTGTGGCATGAATTTTTGCAAAAAACCTTTTATTTTTGTTATATGGGGTAGCAGGCAAAGGCAGGAGGGGCCCATTGTTTTACCAAATCACCTCCTTTAAAGACACTATGTCCTTTTTATGCGATAAAGTGATGCATATTTGTTTACCCTGTGATATGTCAGTGCATGCTGTTTACAGATTCACACACACTCTCATGTGCGTGATTTCGCGCTCTCTCTCCTCCCATTCCACCACTACGGGTGACCCACCATGGCACACACTCATCACATCAGCAGCACACACAACAGCGCCACTAGCGATTACACCCAATACAAATGTTCGATTCAGTTTGGTGCACCCACTGTGTAGTACAGGGCTCCATTATATAACTGGCAAAAAATACAAGAAATTTCATGCATCGCAATATCACTACTGAACATGTGATTTATAGGTGACTGGCGAGTTTGGTTTTTACTGTAATGTGGCAGTGAGATAATAAAAAAAGTGGTTTTAAATGGAAGTCAATGAGGCATTTTTGGCCCCAAACAAAGGTGTCCAGAGGTGAGTAATGCTGGGCAACTACATAAAAAAATACTCGAATCAGGTTTGGGTTTTTGTCTAATTGGGTTGATTCAGTTATTTCCTAAGACTTCTTATGCCACCAGTTTGGTATGCAACTCCCTACTATTTTAATGTATATGTAAAATTATAAATTTTTTGTGTTTTTTTGTAAACCTAAAGTGCAGTGCCCGTAGGAAGTATGTATTGCTATAGAAAAGTGATGAGGTTAAATGAAGCTTTTTATGGATGGGCCGCAAATGAGGTTGTTGTTTGAAAGGTGGGACGTCCCAGGGACATTTAGGACATTATTAAGTTTAGTCCCTGTAATTATAGGCCAGCATACATCAGAGAGAGAGAGAGAGAGAGAGAGAGAGAGAGAGAGAAGAGAGAGAGAGAGAGAGAGAGAAGAGAAGAGAGAGAGAGAGATTCGGGGATCGCGAGCGCCAATTCTCCGCAGCCTCCCTAAAAAAGTACAAAACGAGCTGTACCTAACGTGGAGAAGCGTCTGTCCTCCCCCTGTCCTGTGCCTCTCTGCCCTGTCGCTAACCAACTCTTCCCGTTACCATTTCTGCCCGAAAAAACAGCCGTCCTGTCACCCGGCGAAAAACCCTAGAAGTGTTAAAACATTCTCCGTCCTTGCGAGTGAAGGGCAGTCCAGTTTACTGCTGGTGATTATTATGTAATAATTGTGTATTTAGGTGAAAAACAATAACTTCCGTCACTTTCCCCAGGAAATGTTGGTGGGTCAGGAATCTCAATCAGCCTAGCAACATTATAAAGGCCATCCCATATGATTATACAGTGTCCGCGGGTTTAGATTGACCAGGGGGAGACCAACTGGGAAAGCCTCAACGGCTCGTGCAGTGATTGGCTGCTTGGTGCGCAACAGTGGCTTATGGTGGCCCTATAGTTGGCAATGCTAGCGGAATTCAGAAATCCATTTATCCGAATAATTTATTAGCGGTATGTGTTGTAGTCGGCAAAACAAAGCCGAGCGTTGCATCACCCCTTTACCCAACACCAGGCCAGGCCCATGTCTGAAAACTCTCCAGGTCCAGTCTGATCCTGATCTGCAGAGATATTTGAAGCCAGCCCCACCACACAAGCACACACACACACCACACACACGACACCACCAACACAG